TGGGGAAGATTGAGAAAGAGTTTTGAAAAATGTTTTCCCTTCTTTTAATAGGGAAAACATTTTCCTCCAATTGGAAGAAAATGTTTTCCAAAATATTTAAGCCAACTAAACATGAGAAAATTAAAAAATATTTTTCGAAAAATGTTTTCCTTCCTACCAAACACACCCTAAGTAAAGGACAAGTAGTAATTATTTTAGGAAGGCAAAAGGGCCTCGTGGCCACCTAAACTTGCACCCGTTTTTCAAACCGGTAAATAAACTTACAACTTTTCCATTTGAACACCTTAACTTAACTATTTGCATATTAATAAATACCTTTGACCATTGACCATGCTTATGTGGAAGTGATGTAACTGATGTGGCAATAATATGTGCCAATCACACAAAAAAAGCGCGTGAATATAATGTTTTATTAAAACAAAAACCTTAAGTCAGAAATATAAATTTAAAATAAAAAGGAAAAAAAAAAACTTCTATCATCCCCCTCACGCCTCCCTTTTCTCTCTCTCGTTTTCTTTTCTTTCTCCACCCCCACCCTCTCCCCTCTTTCCATCCTAGCACCCTAAACCCTTTCTCTCCAGATGCGTTTTTCCCCTCCCCATTTATGTTCCTGCAATATTTCAAACGCCACCCCCTTTTTTTCTCACCCCCGTCTCCCTTAACTTCTCACTTCTTAAACAAGGTCTATCCTTTTCGATTAAGTGTTAACAATAATAGCAGTGGCGGTAGTAATTAATGTATATTGGGGTTGATTTTTGGAGTAAAAGAGAATTGTGAGCGTTAGAGCATTTTATTAATTGAAATCACTAGATCAAAGTTTGCATTGGAGGAATTTTCCAGTTTTGCTTGCCCCAAGGAAAATTGGTTTGATACTGGAATTTTATTAGTTGGAATTGGTAAGGTTTGTTGTAGTTGATTTGGTATTTTTTTCTTTTCTGGTGATAGGTCTTGTTAATATTTATGGCTGGAGCTTTTGATGGTCGTGCAGTGATTAACCATGGAATGGTTTTAATAGTGATGGAGAAGAAGAAAGAGATAAAGAATTTAAAATTGTGATAAATTATTTTTTTTTAAAAAGAGACTCACTAATTACGCATGTCAAACAATAAAAGACTTATCATGTGATGTGTGATCCTTGTTAGCGCAGGTGAGGGTCACGCTCTGGTGGAGATATTTAAATCATAAGTTTTGATCAAGTTGAGGTGTCCAAATGGGAAAGTAATAAGTTTGTTTACCGGGTTGAAAAAACCGTGCAAGTTTAAGTGGTCACGAGGCCATTTTGCCTTTTAGGAAAGCACAATAAATCAATTCCTCTCCATGCAGAATACAAAGCATAATAGATCACAGAAATCCTCCATAGCTATCTTCCAGAGAAGGCTTAACCACATAGCATTCAACAGAGAATAAATATCTAAAGCTATTAAATACCTCCATAACTATTCCCCTCAAGCTCTCAGAGTGGATTGGAACAACTTTGCCTACTCGCAGCTGGAAGTCACCAAGTTGATATTGAAACCCCTATGTAAGTCAAATATTTTAATGAGTATTATGAAGTAGTGCTAAGTAAGTCCATTTTTAGAATTCTGAAGGATAAATCAAAGTAAAAATGGAAAATTATCTTCTAAGAATCACCATAGAGAACAGACAACCTTCACCAGCAACATATAGTGCTTTTGGTATTGCAAAAAACAAGCTTGGCTAGTTCAAAAATGAATCCTGTTTGAAAAAGTATAGCTGGTCAATGGCCACCCAACTGGATAACACAATTCTTTAAACTTCATTTTAGGCTGAATAAATAGACACCTAAACTTGTCAGGATTTTAGATTTAGACACTTAAACTAAGCTCATGGTCTATTAAGCGTTTTATCTCTATTCAAACTATACCTATTAGACACAGATGTGTTGAAACAGTTAAGAAAATACATGCGTGTGTTTCACACGCTGGTGACACGGCAAAGAATCCACTGAGAGAATAGTTTAGGTGTCTAAGAGAAAGTTTAAGGGCCCACATACGTATTCAGTCATCGTCGTGAAGTTCTTCAATCTTCACTTATATTAATTAGGTAAATAATTTTATTAAAGTGGGGAAGTTCTTCACTCTTCACAAATAATTGAAGCACAATAAATGTGGATAATATCACTTATAGACATTTAAATTTACAAAAGCCAAGACTGTGGATGGTGCTAGATAACTTAATCATCCTCCTGCAGTAAGAACAACAATTTGCAGATCTCAGTAATACAAACCTCAAAATTAAGTGCAACCCTTGTTTTGTAAGACTGCAACTTCTCCATTATCGTCTGAATTGATGACTCTGCTTCCAAGATCAACCGTTGCCCTCTAATTACAAAGTAATACTTGTTGGGCTGTTCTTGAAGCGAAATACCCAAAAAATCACGGGGAAACTCCAATGCATTTGCTTGTTCTACTAAGAGGGGGAAAAAAGTCACTCCACAATCAAATCTCCTATAAAGGTGCAAAAGTACTCACAAAAATGACAGCAAGGTTGCCCCCGGGGATTTGGCCTAGTGATACGAGGAGGGCAACGTGTGATGTGTAAGTTAGACGTACATCATGGGTTCAAAGCCTGCCGCAGGCAAAAACTAGGTATTTAAGCGGCAAAAATTAGAGGGGTGGCCCAGTATACATCGAGTTTTGAACCGTGCACCGCTGCCCTTGGAAAATTTCTTGTTTATAAAATAAATGATATGCAAGGTTGAAGCAGGTTCACATGTGCACAATATATGCACTATCAAGCCTAACTAGCCTGAGAATGAATAGCTTAAACTTATCGCTAACATATATGTCAATGCTTGTGTGCATCTGTTATATATTGCCTAACAGGACCACTCCTTTTTTTCGCAAAGTACAAGTTTTCAGCCTTACCAAAGGCTGATCAATGAGAGCCTAACTTTTCATTCTCAATCTTTTACCTTGACATTTCATATTCAATTTTTTACCCTTTAAATCTTCACATCCTCTTGCCCCCTCCCATTTTATCTTTGTAAAATTCTTCTTACTCGTGCTCCTACGCGAGTTTAACACTCTTCCAAAAGGCTGCCTTACAAAAGAGGAACAATCCATCAAACAATCAATCAATTAACTACACAGTTAGTATCAGCTAGATAAATCCTCCAAATCATTTCAATGCTACTTCGCTTATAAATAGTTTATCTTACAAAAGAGAAAACCTACCTATAAATCCAATCTTTTTAATGAATTCAGAGGGGAAAAAATCACCCTTTTATAGTAAATCACAGGTTGGTACATGAATAAACTTTTACCTTATCCCAAAAAAAAAACGCAAAGATCCTTCATAACCATTCTGCTCTATTCGGACCCAAATTTCCAAAACTACTTTGCTTATAAATAATTTACCTTACTGGAGATAAAACCTACCAATCTTTTTAATGAATTCAGGGGGGGGGTAAAAGCACCCATTTATAGTAAATCACAGGTATCAACAGAAAATGCTAAAACCCCAATTTTTTTAATGAACTCAGAGAAAAAAAAACACCGATTTATAGTAAAACACAGGTAGAAAAAAATGCAAAGATAACACTAGCATGTATTAAATAGATTATATGGTTAACTATGTAATGAAATACCTCGAAGCATGGGTTTGTAGAAGCTAAGAGTAGCTTTCCACCTTCCTTCTTTAACCCCATTTATACTCTCAACACACTGAGATACTTCTGTTAGTATTTGAGTGTTGACTGTTGTGCCTGCATTTGGCTGCCAGTGCAAAACCCTAGGGACAGACAAAGTAACACGGTCTACACATAAATATATAAGCATATGCACCAAGATCTATAAGAAATGTTACTTTTTTTGTAAAATTCAAGAATTATTTCACTTTTTTTGTAAAATTCAAGAATCATTACCATTTGATTGGCATATTGTTGATTGCAAAAACAAGCTGGAGAAAATTACACTCTAAAACCCTTTTAGCCCTTTGGCTCCTTTTGGAGGAAAGAATGAAGGGATGTTTTTCCCAAAGTGTGCGCTCGTTGGCTGCAAAATTCCAGGAATATGTAGTTTTTGTGAGAATACCAAAATATACAAAACTCATACACGGAATGCGACTTTCATGTGTCCTAAGTAATCAGACGTAAAGAGCCGTCAAGGAGTAGCATTAGCTCAAATCGCATTCTTCTTATAAAACTCAATACTGGAATGCAACTTATGAAGCTCAATTAGAATTCGCAGCTTTTAAGTCTCAGTGGTCGAATGCATTTTGCTCTTTCCAGACTCTGACCATGTTGCAGAGAGTATTCATACTCTAAGTGCAGTTAAAAATTGCAATTAATTGAAATGCACTCAAGGCTTGCGATTTACCTTTTAGATTCCTTACATGCGGAGATTATTTGTACTATAGACTATTTGTACTAAAACACACCCATAAATTGCGACTATGTGAACTTGAGGATCAATGCACTGAAAATGTTTGTTGCTACAGAGGCTTTGTCATTTCATGACAGGGCAGAAAATATTCCTTTTACTGATCAATTCTCAATGGGTTTCACTCAATTGCTAACAGAACAAACATTTGATAATTGGCTGCGGGCGACAAATGAATTTTCAATTGCCAATATTGGTGCTAAACCCAGTGGCGGAGCCAGAAATTTTATCGGGTGTCAAAATATAAATAATTAGATATAATAAAAAATAATAATTGGAGTCAACGTATAGTAAATATACATAAAATAAAAAATTTATCTACGCAATATAGTGTAATTTTCTGACGAAGCGACCCCTTGGTTCAATGTCGCTCCGCCACTGGCTAAACCCAATGACAATTGACAACCACAATATTCCATTCTTGACAAAAGCTGTGCTAGACAAAGATTACTACTATATGGCGACATGTGAATCGGAGAAATGCGGGAATATATGGGTCGAGGGGACCAAATTCAGAACTGGAGAACGGCCAATTTTTTGATAGCAAAGACCAAATGAAACGGGCCAAAAAAAATGTGAAGTGTTTCCAGAAACAAAGAGCTCACTGTTATTAGTGTCATCTACTGGAAAATGCTAATTCGAGTGAGGAAATGTCACTATCGGAACAAAGTACAAACTCAAAACCACAAAATAATGCAAATTCAAAACAACTATTAACACCACAAGATCATAATCAACAGAAGGGAGCTCGGATTTTGAAAAGAGAAAAAAATGGAAACTTTTAAAACTCAAATTGTGCAGAATCTATATTTTTTTTTTAAAAAAACAAAAAGGGAAATCTTGTTACATATCGTGCCCATAAATTAAAAACGATTTGTTTAAGGAATTACCTGAAAATAAAAAGGTTTTGATTAGGGCTTTTCTCCGACGAAGAAGGGAAGGAATTGGAGGTTGAATGTAGGTTATGTTTGAGCCCAGATCACGGCGGGATATATGAGCATTTACATGCGATACACAGTCGCAGTCATAATACTGATTATGCGATTTATACGTCGCAGTCGTGATATGCGATTTAAGTCAAAACTCAAAAGAACATATTACAGGAGAAAATTATAATGAAGGGAATCTTGAAATTACACATGGGAAAAGTAAAGAAAAAAGCAAGTGCCATACTCAATTTTTTAATTTTTTTCCCTTTTAAAAGATAACACTTATATTTGTATTGGCGGTAAATAAATGATACACATGAAATTATATTTAGCTGACAAAGCATGATACGTGGAACAATGAGGAAATGACAACTAGCATATTTCATTTAAAAGATGTATGAAGCGCAAGAACACCCACGAGATAATGGAGAACCAATGTTCGAACCTAAAACAATTGCTGAAGAGGCACGAGCGGAATGAATCAAGACTGGAAAGAGGAAAGATTCAAGGACCTACAATTAATGAAGAAGGGGAATCAGAATCGTTACAAAATCTTCATAGACAGTTACGTTTACCAATCATAACGGACAATTAACGCCGTTAAAGCTCATAATGATTCCACCATAAATAGGAGGAAACGTTATATTTGTAAACTCCTTTATAAGGGAGAGAATCTCATTTGTAAAGACACGTTCGGAGTACTATCGAAATATATTCACTTTCCCTTGCTTATTCAGAACAATCAATTATTCTTTCTTTTTAGTTACTTTTTTGTCAACTTTATTTCCTTTTAAGTGACTTACTGAGGAAGTAGGAAATTATTTGGTTATCAGTAACCCGAGTTCTTCTAAAAATAGGATTTGACTAAAGATCTTATTTTTTTGTTAAATAAATTGGTTCCGTTACCGGGAATCTGATAATCTTTTTACTTTCCAAATCCTTCTTTCTCACAACCAAATCATGTCAACTATCAACGAAAATAACCAACATGAGGGAGGATCTCCTCCAATTCCTTCACCACGGGAATCTCCACGTCATTCTCGATAAGGAACACCTAAAAGATCCATGTCTCACACAAATGAACAACATGGAGACGAGCAGACTGTCGAGCAAGATGCTTTAAAATAATTGATCGCTGAACATGTGAACAATGCTCTCCAAGCTTTTGTTAGGGGATTGTCAACTACACCACCAACTCCTCCCCCAAATAATACGGCAACTATAGAAAATCCACGCTTGGGGCTTGCCAATTCAGGAAGCAGGGGAGCTCCCAATGAATCACATGATGGGAGGTCAGGTACACCAAATAACTCTAATTTATAAAATTTGGTACTAACTTTGCAGAAACAGATGAAAGAGCAAAACGAACACATAGAACAAATACCTGGCGTACCGCATGTGATTAAGGAAGTGGATATCGATAAATATTCACAACAACCTTGGAAGTCGAGCGCGGCCCCACTGCCCATTCCTAAGAAGTTAAAAATGCCTCACATCCCAAAATATGATGGAACAACTGACCCACGAGATCACGTAACTGCATTCACAACAAGCGTAAAAGGCAATGATTTGACCAAACAAGAAATTGAGTCAATTTTGGTCAAAGAATTTGGAGAAACACTCATGAAAGGGGCATTAACATGGTATTCTCTTTTACCTGAAAATTCTATTGATTCTTTTGCTGAGTTTGCAGATTTATTCATAAAAGTACATTCGGGAGCTCAAAAAGTTGAAAAGGGGATGGAAGATATCTTTAAGGTAAAACAAGAAGATACTGAGTTACTTAGGGAATTTGTGGATAGATTTCAACGTGAAAGAATGATGCTTCCACGAGTACCTGATAATTGGGTAGCCATGGCGTTCGCAAGTAATTTGAATGAAAAGAGCTCAAAAGCCACGAGAAGACTGAAGGAAAGCTTACGAGAATTCCCTGCTACAACATGGAATGATGTATATAACAGGTACAGTACCAAGCTGCGGATTGAAGAAGACATCGTCGCACAGTCAAGGGTTGATGAAAGAACAAATTCAAGGCGTTCAGAGTCTGAAAAGGGTCCGGTAAAAATAGGTACGAGCCTTATATGGGACCCGCGAGTCGGGACTCACAGTCCAAACCAGAAAACGTACGGTCTGACCCTAGATCAAGGAACAGAGATGCGGGATCATCATCCAGGTTCAGAAAAGAACTAGATGTACGTGATAGAGATACCAACACGAATGCAAGGATTGGTGATTACAGTTTCAATATTAGCACATCTGAGTTGGTAGCTATTTTAAGGAGTAAGGGAGATAAGGTGTGGTGGCCAAAGGAAATGAGATCAAACCCAGGCAGAAGAAATCCAGATTTATGGTGCGAGTTTCATAATGACCATGGCCATAAAACAGCGGATTGCAGATTATTACAAGGTGAAGGAGAGCATTTGCTAAAGCAAGGTTATTTAACTGACTTATTTAGCGATAAAGGCAAGCAATCTTATATGAAAAATAGACAAGAACCTCCAAAACATCCGTCTCCAAAAAGAAAAGTTAACGTGATAAGCGAAGGGGAAGAAGTCAATGGTGTAACATACACAGTTGCGAAAAAGACGTCAAAATTCACTGTGACCCACGGGAAGCGAGTTCGCCAAGTTTTGGAAGAAGATAATATAACATTTAATGATGCAGATGCAGATGGCTTGATAATCCCTCACAATGATACACTGGTAATATCTTTACTTATACATGATACTAATGTAAAACGAGTTTTGATTGATCCAGGTAGCACCGTGAATATTATTCTTCTAAGAGTGGTGAATGAAATGCAAATGGGCGACAAGATAATACCAAAAGCACGATCCTTATCTGGATTCGATAATTCAATCGTTATTACAAAAGGGGAGATAGTGCTTACCATTTGCAGAAGGAGTTATCAAGGATACGAAATTCCAAGTAATAGATACGGACATGGCTTATAATGTGATTCTTGGGATGCCATGGATTCATGACATGGATATTGTACCATCCACGTTACATCAAGTCATTAAGTTTCCTTCACAATGGGGAATTTAGCAAATCCGCGGAGATCAACAGGTTTCCAAAAATATCAATTCAGTGGTAAATTCGCGTACGATGAATGAAGAGACGAATAAGAATCCCGTCGAAGATGTGGTAAATCAGATCTCAGCTGAAAGTGGCTCAAGGAAAACAGATGTAGATTTCAGACCTGATGTCATTCAAGAACCACATGAGAATGAAAACATCAAAACAACAATTGAAGAATTCGAAGCTGTTGTACTATTCGAGCAATGGCCAGACCGAAAAGTTTATATTGGACTCGGCCGGTTGTTTTAAGTATTATAACCTTGTTCCCCCATTTACTGCTGAATTTATGCCTTATAGTTATTTTATGACTTACCGGGTTAGTGGGTTCGGGTCTGGAAGGAATTCGGAGTGAAATGAGACACTTAGTCTCATAATTAAAATTTTAAGTTAGAAAAGTGGACCGGATATGGACCTATGTGTAAACGACCTAGGATTTGAATTTTGATGATTCCAATAGCTCTGCATGGTGATTTTGGACTTAGGAGCGTGTCCGAAAATATTTTTTGGAGGTCCGTAATGGAATTAGGCTTGAAATGCCGAAAGTTAAATTTTTGGAAAGTTTGACCGGGGGTTGACTTTTTGATATCGGGGTCGGAATTCGATTCTGAAAATTTGAATACCTCTGTTATGTCATTTTATGACTTGTGTGCAGACAAATTTGAGGTCAATCGGACATGATTTGACAGGTTAAGGAGTCATTTGTAGAAATTAGAAATTTCAAAGTTCAATAGGCTTAAATTGGGGTATAATTCATAGTTTAAGCGTTGTTTGAGGTGATTTGAGGATTCAACTAAGTTCGTATGATATTTTAGGACTTGTTCGTATATCTGGTTGAGGTCCCGAGGGCCTCGGGTGAGTTTTCGGATGGTTAACGGATAAAAAAAATGAACTACAACAGTTACTGCAATTTCCTTCTGCTGGAAATTTCTTCTGCTAGAATCGAGCCCAGAATCAAGCCACGATCGAGCCCAGGGTCGAGGGCCACGATCGAAGGCAGGGTCAGGAATCAGGATCGAAGCCACGATCGAGCCCAGGGTCGAGGGCCACGATTGAAGGCAGGGTTGAAGACATGATCGAAGGCCATGATCGAGGGCCAGGATCGAGGGTCAGAATCGAGGCCCAGGATCGAGGACCTCGATCGAAGGCCAAGATCGAGGCAGAATCAAGACTGTCTTGGCAGAATTATAAAATAGGGACTTTGTCCCATTCGCCATTTTGACAAATTGGAGCTTGAGGAGAGGCGATTTGTGATTGATTTTCAAGAAAAACTTGAGGTAAGTCCCTTGTGATCATTTCTACTCCATAATATTGAATTATCATCGAATAATCCGACTAGATTACATGATTTTGAGGTGTAAATCGGAGATTGGAACTTAAAAATTTGGAAATAAGATTTGTAGATTTGAGGGTCGAGTTGAGGTCGGATTTTGGTAAAATTGGTATGGGTAGACTCGTGGTTGAATGGGCTTTCAGATTTTGTAACTTTTGTTGAATTCCGAGACGTGGTCCCCACAGGCGATTTTTGAGCTAAATTTTGAATTTTTATGGACAATTAGTATTTTCTTATGGAATTAATTCCAATAAATTTTATTGACTGAAACGAATTATTTGTGACTAGATTCGAGGCATTCGGAGGCCAAATTGCGAGGCATAGCAGAGTAATGAATTTCACGCTCTGAAGTAAGTAACAGTTTTAAATCTGGTCCTGAGGGTATGAAACCCCGGAATTTGGTATCATGTGATTACTTTGGAGGTGACGGGCGTGTGGGCGTGCACCGAGGGGATTGTGACTTGGTCCATCCCATGAAAACTAGAAAGTTGAATAATTTGTTGATAGTTATGTGTCCTCTATGTGTTGTAGAAATTTGACTATAAGTCATGTTAGAAATCATGTTTAGGCTATATATTGGTATTGTTAGGACCCACAGAGGTCGTGTACATATTGAATTATCTGCTTAAATTATTATTTTATACTCAGTCACAACTTACTTGATTATTTTATCTCAATCTCTATTGTTCATTATTGATGTATCATATCATTGTTGTTTGGGCTGATTTTATAATTATGGAG